CCGATCCATTTCTGTTTGCTCAATTTATCTTCCTCAGTATGAATTTACATAGGCTGCGCTCTTCCAGAAGGAAATGACTCACAATTTGGGGGGGGAGGGGATGCGGATGACCTCCTGAACCCACAGCTTCTGCAGTGATTAGAAAAGCCTTTGTACAGATTTGCCTGTGTACCAGTTGGACACATGGCAGAATGTATCTTTTATTTTATGTACACTGAGAGCATTTGCACCAAGACAAATTCCTTGTGTGTCCAATCACACTTGGCCAATACAGAATTCTATTCTATTCTATCAAGAGGCTGTTCTCATGATAACTCATGTGTTAGTCCTCTCCTGGATGAATTACTGTGAAATTCGATCCATGGAGCTGCCTTTAAACAACATTCAGAAGCTGCAACTCGCCCCAAAATGCTGCAGTGCGGGCAGTTTGGGGCATTTCACAAGATCCTCGTGTTCTGTGAGCTGCACTGGCTTCCAGGAGGCTTCTGGATGCAATCCAAGATGCTGGTTATCACCTAGAAAGCTCTGCGTTGAGCCAAGATAGTTGCAGGATAGCACTTAGCACTTAGACCTATATACCGTGTCGACCCTGAAGATGACATATGTGTAGCCATATTTTATATTAGCCAGTATTTCTTTTTCTGTTAGCTTTTAGATTTATAGTAACTGAATTTACTGATGCTATAGGCTGGTCACTGTCTAACTGTAACAGGGGGGGTTGTACAGATAAAGGGAGAATGTTATGTCTAAGCGGCCTTCCTTTCCCATGAGAACAGTTCAGATGCCTGCAGCTGGATGAAGGTGGAGTTTGGAATTGCCGGACTGTGGGATCAAGAAGTGATTGGAGATTGTGACTCAGGGGGGGACGTTTCACACTTTGGCTTTTATTGGGTGCAATTCTGGATCTGGTTCAGAGTCGGAATTACACCAAGTCTGTGCCAATTTAATGTGTTCCTAATAAATAGATTTGAAATGGAAAATGGACTTTATTTGGGGGGGACATGTTACTTGGGGGCTTGACATACTGCTTCATGGAGCTTTACAGCACTTCTCTGAGTGGTTTACAACATCAGCATATTGCCCCCAACAATACGGGTCCTCATTTTACTGATCTCAGAAGGATGGAAGGTTGAGTCAATCTTGAGCTGGTCAGGATCAAACTCTTGGCAATAGACATCACCTGTGTCTCTTTATTTCTGCTTGCCCTGCCAGAACCATCAGGTTGGCATCCTCTAAGTCCCTTCCATTAGACAACGTCACCTTTGAGATACAGGAGTCAACCCTATTCAATGGCAGCACCTCCCTATGGAAGAGCTTCTCCCCAGACACCTGGTTTATTGCTCATCATGTTGGACTTCCCAGAGAAACTCTTCCTTTAGACTTTGGGGCTCACTTAACCCTGCTAAATTGTTTAAATAAACAGAACTATTGTGTTTTGTGGTGTTGTATTTTGTGGGTTTTGTGGTTTTGTTGGATGTAGGTTCTCTCTTAAGTTCAGTGCATGCCTCGTATATTTTACATACTTTTGCATATTTGTAATAGATACATATGTTTTACAGTATATGTTGCTTTACGGCATATGTTTTACTGTACATACTATAATAGCTTGTACAATTCGTTCACCTCTATGTTCCTCCCCTTTAATTAAGACAGTTCAATATATTGGCTGTTTTTCTTCCAAGCACCCCAGGCTATCCAGCATATTTTTATATTCAGCAAAACTCAGAATAAAACAATGGCTCAAGGAACTTGAGAATAATGGAGCAATGGTGCCTCTGAGCATATTTACAGCCTAGGAATTTAGGGATAAGTGCCAGAATTAAGACTTAGAGTTTTTGCACTCAAAAATCAACTTGTTTCTCTTCTATAATTTTTCATTCTCAGCAAAATAACTTTCCTTTGCAAACTTATTTTGGAATAGGTTTCATGGAATATATTAAGCTTTCTATTCAGTAAATACATATTTGCTGGGGGGGGAGGGATCTACCTTTTAAATAATACAATTTTTTCTTCAATAAATGCAAGCGGTTGAGTTCCAAACAACCTGTTCTTCCATAAATCTTGTTGCCTTCCATAGCTCTACTGCCGCTGAATAGAATGTCCTGATTCAAAAACAATCAGAATGAACTGAGTGTTAGACAACTTCTCCCATAACTATCTCCTTTAGTTTCACGGCTCACAACCAGCGCTCATTCTAGAACAAGGGAAGGATAATTGCATTTGCATTGGTCCCTGTGTCTAACAGGGTAGAGAGGTTGTAGTTTGATAACTGACAAGTTCAAATGCAAAAGCTAAAAAGAAGAAAATTCAGCAGCTTCATTATGCGTATTTATATACTGCACAAGTCAAAAACAGGGCTGTGAAAATACCTACAGACCCCTCACATCCCAGACATAAATTGTTTCAACTTCTGCCCTGAAAAATGACCTTATAGAACAATTAGACACAAGGACAGTTTTTTCCCACATGCCATCACTTTGCTAAACAACTAATTCCCACAACACTGTCAAACTATTTACTAAGACTGTATTACTATTATTCTTCTCATCCTTCCTATTACCTATCTCCTTTTCTACTAATGACTATAATCTTGTTGCTTATACCTTCACGATTTACATTACTTTATTTAGTTTCCTAGTATGATTTTGATTGCATATTTAGTATCCTATGACTATCACTGTGTTGTAACTTATGATTCATAATGAATGCATTTTATGATGATGATGATCATGATTTATCACTTACAGCTTTTATATACACTGAGAGCTTATGCACGGAAGACAAATTCCTTGGGTGTCCAATCACACTTGGCCAATAAAGAATTCTATTCTATTCTATTTGATATATGGAATAAGAGCTATTCCTCTAAAAGACTCACAACTCATTAAATCTACCTGTCATGTTCAAAATGTCACGCTGCCCCTAATAGATGGGGAGGGATAGTCTGGAAACTAAATGAAAGTATAGCAAAATAAATGGCTCCCATCTTAGTTGGCTCAATATTAGTTTATTTGTAGTCCTGGCTTTCAGAATGAGTATTAAAGTTGAGAACACTCTTTACCTGCATATAAACTATATCATTAGTGTGCAACTTGAGAACTGGTGTGCCAAGAAAGACAACAGGGGATCATGAACCTCTGTAGATCCAACTTTGGGAAGAAGAAAACCGGATACACTGTATAATCCACTGTACTGGCTCCTTTAATACAATGTTGTTGTGACCTTCAGTCGAGTTTTGGTTTTTCTATCCGTTATTTAAAGACTGCAGGGTGGAACCAGTATCCATTTTTATTCCTTTACTATAATAAGTCTTTCTACCTAAGGACAATATAAAGCTATAAATCATCTAACAAGACAGCGTTAAATGCAAACATCCCTTTTTCTTTTTTTCTTTTGTTATTTGAACTTCCAAAAGTTACCTAGGGCTGGTACATTTAACATGCCCATAATGTTCAATGCAAACTGTTTCCAGGATGTTCCTCTCTTACACAAATAATGACATTCTACCACTCCTTGTAAAACAGTGATTCACAACTTTGTCTGATCGCACAGTAGATTTAATCAAAGGCTTTTTCAAGGAAAGGTATATACTAGATCAGCGAACCCCAACCTTTGCGGCTCGGCACATCCAACTCAACTGCAGAAGCGGAGTTGTGCTTGCCCTCTGGCCTGCCTCTCATGCAGCCCAGTTCAAAATAGGCCACGGCCCGGGGGTTAAGGACACTGTACTAGTTCTTATCAAGCTACCTATCTATGGAAATACCGTGCAGCTATTTCACTGTTTACTAATAACTCATTTAGCTATAAATACTATAAGTAAACACAGAATGAGGGTTCTTTTTTAAAACTTTTTTCAGTCCCGTCATAACTTCTATTCTGATTGATTAAGCAAATAACTCTAATCATGGGAGTGTCTTCAGAAGGGTAGCTAATCTTAAAAGAAAGGACTTACGGATAACTTGTTCAGAGCCCTTACGATAGGGATGATTCTAAATTCCATTCCATCCACTCAACCTCCCACTATTGCCAGCAGACTGTCTGAATCCATTCAGGCTCTCCTTCCAAATTCCAGCATGAAAACTACTTCAAAAGGGACTCTCCTTTTGCAGTAGTGCTATGGAAAGAACATGGAGGGAGGGAACAAGGACATCTCCATGTGCAGCCATGGAATAAAGATAGCTGGAATAAAGATTGGCTTAACTATTTATGCATCAGTCTGGAAAGCTCTTGTGACAATCAGCTGATTTATGTTGCATAGGCAGATAACAGATAATCAGAGTTGGAAGGGACCTTGTAGGTCATCTAATCCAACCCTCCCAAGCAGGAGACCCTACACTATTTCTGACAAATGGCAGTCCAATCTCTTCTTAAAAGTCTCAAGTGATGCGCTCGCACAACTTCTGAGGGCAAGCTGATCCATTGGTTGATTGTTCTCACTGTCAGAAAGTTTCTCCTTATTTCCAGGTTGAATCTCTCCTTGTTCAGTTTCCATCCATTGCTTCTTGTCTGGCCTTCGGGTGCTTTAGAAAATAGCTTGATGCCCCTCCTCTCTGTGGCAGCCCCTCAAATATTGGAAGATTGCTATCATGTCTCCCCTGGTCCTTCTCTTCACTAGACTAGCCAGGCCCGGTTCCTGCAACCGTTCCTTGTACGTTTTAGCCTCCAGTCCCCTAATCATCTTTGTTGCTCTTCTCTGTACTTTTTCTAGAGTCTCAACATCTTTTTTATAGTGTGGTAACCAAAACTGGATGGAGTACTCTCGATGTGGTCTTACTAAGGCTTTATAGAGTGGTATTAGTACCTCACTTGATCTTGATTGTATCCCTCTGTTAATGCAATTTAGGATTGCATTAGCTTTTGGTAGGCGAAAGGACATGCCTGTCAGGCAAGCAGAATCCAAAAGGCAAAAAGTAAAACTCTTCTGGACTTTCCCCTTTAAGTATCAGCAGGCAAAGTTGAATCACTTATTATCTGGTCATCTGTTCACATGCCAAAGAAGCAGGAAGGGGAGGTGTAAGGGAGAGAGAGAGAATAGTAAGATCCACCAGAAGAGGCAAGGAGCAGAAGGAGGAGGCCAAGAAGGGGGGAGAAAGTGCAAGAGAAGAGAGGAGGGAGAGGGAGAACAGATTTAGCTTGCAATACATCAGAAACAGACATAAAGAAGAAACTAGTACTTGGGTGGGGTGTGTGTGTGTGAAGGGATTCCATCCGAAGCCTGCAGAACAGCCGAAGAGCAAGCAACATGAGCCACCCACAATACCAAACCTTCCAGGGGGATCAACCTGCCTCTCCAAATCCACCCTCCTACTCAGAAAAAGAGCTCTGCAAAGACCCTGACCCTGCTGGATCTGCACTTCCCACGGGCCAAGGGGCCGCTGTCCCTATGCCTCCTTCCTATGGCTTACCCAGCCCAGCCTACCAACCTCCGATCATTCAACCCCAGCAGACGGTCCTCCTCACCCCGATCTACCCTTCCGTTGAACCAGATTACCTGGCCTACTCCATCTTCACCATGCTCTTCTGCTGCTTGCCTTTGGGGATCGCTGCCTTGATTTTCTCAATAAAGGTAAGGGTTTGAGAAGACAAGGTGAGTAGCAGATTGCAAGGTAGGGTGAGGGAAGACCTGGCCTTTGGGTTTTTGTTTGTTTGTTTGTTTGTTTAATTCATTTTATTTGTCAATAGCTTACAAGATAATAAACATAAGTATAAATACAGGCAATAGGAATTAATAATTGGGGACAATAGGACATTATTATTATTATTACTTTTATTGTCAGAGTACAACATGTGTTCAATGAGATTGGCTGAGCCTCCCTTCGTGCACCCCACCCCCCAACACAACTCACAGTGAGGACAGAAGTCCCTAACCCAGTCCCAATCTTATTACACTATGTGACCTACACTATAGGACAGGGACAGTAGGCACTATTGTGCGTTTATGCACGCCCCTTCCAGACCTCTTAGGAAGAGGGTGAGGACAACAGTGGTTAGTTTGAGGGGAAAGGAGTGTGGGTTTGGGGATGTGACAACGGAGTCATGTAGGGCGTTCCAGGCATTGACCACTCTGTTGCTGAAGTCGTACTTTTCTGCAATCAAGTTTGGAGTGGTGTACATTAACTTTATATCTGTTGTGTGCTCTTGTACTATTGTGGTTGAAGCTGAAGTAGCCATTGACTGGTAGGACATTGAAGCAGATTATTTTTTAAACTATGCTTAAATCAAACCAGTTTTTTTTTTTTTTTGTTTTTTTAAGCCACTTTACAGCAATTTCTTTCTCTTTCTTCTTATTCTTCTAAGACTCCAGGTGGGCAACGAGTTGGCTCAAGTTCCTTCAGGGTATTGGAATATTTTTGGAAGTGGCTTGTCAGAGCAGTCTTCCTGGAGATGAAAGAAAGGGGGCTGGCCCCAAGTCACCCGTTTGACTGCACGCCTAAGGTAGCACTAGAACTTACGGGCTCCAGGTTTTCTAGCTCAGCGCCTTTAAACCGTTACCCCAAACTGGCTTACATCAGAACATTCTCCGATCATTGAGATTTCAATAAAGGGGTGTTTTTTTCCCCAACTCCCCCTTTATACTTCAGGTATATGTTCAAGGGGGAGGAAACACTGCATCTCTACGGAGCCCGGAACAAGGAAAAATAGAGAATCCGTATGGGGCATCGTTGCAGAGGGAGCAAGATTTTTTTTTTTATGGTTTTCTTTGAATGCAGCATGAGCAAAAAAAACAACCTTGTAGCTAAAGCAATTTCACAACGTTCAGCAGCCTTCTGCTTTATATCTATTCCCAAGGTTTATACTTTCTGCAGCCTTGGGGTGGAAGGACAGACAAGGAATAAATCTAGAAATACAAGTTTGCAAGGCCAGCTCTGTAAACTTTTGTGTGTACTTCGTGATACTATAGGCACGAGACAGAAGAAGACGGTACCGTGATGTCACAAACACTCTTTTTATCATTTATAGCCTGCCTTTCTTACAGGAGATCAAAGATGCTTTACACGTCATTCACTTCTCCTCTTCTTTTTGCCACCACTTGAGATTATCCAGTGGTGGGATTCGATTTTTTTTACTACTGTTTCTGTGGGCTTGGTGGGAGTGGCTTTGGTGGGCGCGGCAGGTGAAGGATACTGCAAAATCCCCATTCCCTCCCCACCCCATTAACCTGCTTTCCAGCTCTGTTTTGTGCAGGGCAACCAAAGGAGACCCAGCTGATCAGTTGGGACTCAATGGGAGGCAGAGAATAGATGGGATTTGCGGGGCCAGTCAGAGGTGGGATTTGCCGGTTCTCCAAACTACTGAACGTTTCTGCTATCGGTTCTCCAGAACTGGTCAGAACCTGCTGAATACCACCTCTGAGATTATCCCAAAACTCAGTGGCTTCCATAGCTCCAACCAGGGTCTTTAATTTCACACATATCTTATTTATGTCACCCTCACTTTTGGAGCGTACAAGTGGTCCTTGACTTACGACCACAACTGAGCCCCAGCATTTCTGTTGCTAAGTTCAGTGAGTTTTGCCCCCATTTACCAATATGTCCTGCCACCCTTGCTAATTGAATCCCTGCAGTGGTTAAGTTAGTCACAGAGTTGGTTGTTAAGTGAATCTGGCTTCTTCATTGACTTTGCTTGTCAGAAGTTTACAAAACAGGCCCCAGGATACCTTGCAACAACAATTGCAAAAATAGCAGCAGATCTCAATTCTTGGTGTAAAAACACATATTTTTAGAACCCCTCCCTGAAAAAAAAATCAAAACTTAATTTTAACCCCGTTAAATGACACGCCCTACGTGCAACAGTCTAAATGTCAGTCAGTAGCCAAGTGACTGATTTATGATCGTGTGACTATGGGGATGCTGCAATGGTCATAAGTGTGAAAAATGGTCATACGTCACTTTTTTTAGTGCCATTGTAATTTTGAATGGCATAAATGAACTTTCGTAAGTCAAGGACTCCCTATAATTTATTTTTCTCCTGCTGCTTCTCTCTCTCTCTCTCTCTCTCTCTTTCTCTCTCTCTCCCTCTTTCTCCCCCCTCTCCCTCTCTCCTTCTCTCCTCTCTCTCTCTCTCTTTCATTTTTATGTTTAACATTTTCTTGATATTTTAATACTGGCTTATCCTATTCTCATCATCAAGGATTTGGAGCACACATTCAAACTTAAGAGTGATCAACAATACATGAATTGGTAAGACTTTAACATGTAAGTTTAGAATGGTAGCTAAATGCAGATCATGAAGCAGCTTACCCTTACTCTAGGTGTAACAAGTACTAAATAAAACAACTAGTATCCATGCTTGCTGTCCCACATCTTTTGGACAGTCATATGGATTGAGTAACGAAAGAAGAAGAGTAAAAAGAGATGGTGTCCAAAAGTAGCAGCAAAGATCATTGGAAGGAAGTTGATTCTCCTTTCCCACGTCAAAATAAAATTTTGAAGTGGGCACTAGTATCTGGAATGAGCAGGGAACTATGATGCTAATAGTTGACAGTGCTTGTTAATAAACCAGTGTCTACAAACAAAGAGAGGCCAGATCATAGGGGAAAGAGTTGAGTCTGTCCTATCTTAGCCTACATAGTTGGGTTGCTGATTAATGTTTGTTGATTGAGATAAAAAAAAAGTTCTTAACCCTCCACTGCAAGGATATCCATTGTGAAACCATTCAGCATTATCTATTCCTGTAAACAGAAAATAACCTTCAGCTAAAGGGGGTGGGGGTTTTTCCCCACTAATCCATTGCATCATCTTCTCTGTCTCTCTGTCTCTGTCTCTCTCTCTCTAGACCCGAGATGCCAACCATTTTGGAAACATCATGGCTGCGCAGCGAAATTCCAAGTTGGCCCGCAACTTTTCCCATGCTGCTCTTGGTTTTGGCATCGCCGTCTTGATCATGAATATCGCCATACTGGTGACCCTGTATCTGTTGAACAAACCCTGAAGGCTTGTATCTTCTCGTTCTTGAGATACAAAACAGAAGCAAAAGGCTTGAATTCATCTGCAGTGGGCGATTACATCACAAGTTACAGCGGCTTACTCACACACCCATGAAAAACACAAGGATTTCCTCCCTCCTGACTGCTCTCACCAGCTATAGAATGAGGTTTTAAGGTTCTAGCAGCTAGATTTGTAACATGATTTGTGTTAAGCTTTAGACATAAACATACTCCAGCTCTACAAAGCACCAAAGCATCATCTGGAGCAAGGGAAAAGGGGTGTTGGGTGGCAAGAATCAAATGGGATACAACAACATGCCTGCAAATTGTCCTGTTGTCGTTATTAATTGTCAACCTCCTTGGAATCCCACAAGGGGTTGAGATCATCTTCTTTTAACTGTTCCTCCTCCCATCAGTCCACCATCTTCTCATTTCCTCTTCTAGGCTATTCTGTACATTTCAGACCTCGGGTGATTTGTTTGTAGTTGTTTGATCATTCAGTTTTAACTTCTGGTTCAGTTCTTCCCAAAATTCACTAGTTTTTTTTTTCTCTCCTTCATCTAATATAAGTCCCTGAGAACTCCCCAATTCTGACGCTACAGATTGTTAATCAAGCCCTTTCTGTCCAATTATAGATCATACCACAGCTTTCCTCTGCTCACTGGTTTTGCAACCATCTCCTCCAGTCTGTTTTCAAAACCCAGAAAGCATCTGAATGCACCTTTTCAGAGTCCCGTATGCAAGAGGAATACATGATCTGACAGGGTTGATCATCAAGTATGGTCCTTGGTTTTCTTGAAACAGTTTTTGCTTACCTCTTTGGAAGAAGAACAGAGGGTTCAACATCTGATGGCGGAAATAAATATTGTATGATGAAAATAAAGAAATGGCTCACATAAGTCCCCCCCTCCACATCCCTTTTATTTGTAAGAATTAAAGGATAGCGCTATCCAATGATTTAGATTGAGATTGACTGAAGAATGATATTTCATCTGCTTTACTTCCAACTCTTTCCTGTTGCATATTTTGTTCTATAGATGTTAATTTCCCACCCAAACACAACGCAGGAATTTAGTCTGGCTAGCAATTGTCCATCAGGGGTGACCTGCTGGAAGTGAAATGGCCCTTTTTACTCCAGCCAGCATTTTTTGATTGAATTAATATTAATCTCAACAACTTAAATATTTGTGTGTTCTGTTAGCTCTGTCTACTCCTATGGTAGAAGGAACTAATAGAATAGGCCACTTCCACAGTCTCAAGAGAGATGTGGAGCTAGCTTAGGAATTTGAAGGTTGCTTTGGAAGCATGCTGGCTGAGGAATTCTGGGAGTTGAAATCCAGATATCTTAAAAGTTGCCAAGTTTTTAAAAAAACCACTGCATTAAAGGATCCCTTTCTTCCCTTTTATGGAATTTTCTGGCTGAATTCAACAGCCTAAACTAAACAGATCTAAACTAATGAACTTTTATTTAAAATCTCAAGTCAAAGCAAACTATAACTATAAACTATAAAATGTCACATGTTTAAAATGAAGCAAATTGCACAATAAAACATACCGCTAGCTACCCTAAGTAGAATACCAGTTAGCTACTTAACCAATGAGTCATGTAGCTTATTGCTTTTGGATTTGGGGTTTTGCACCCTTGTAGCACAACTTTATCCACTGTGCATAGTATTGAATGGTCCTTGAACTTAAAAATTATTCTGTATGCCCAAGGAACATCTTCACTAGTATAACAGAATTGTCCTAGATCAGTAAAGCAAATATCACATAGCACTGGCCATCATTTCATGGCAAATTTCATTATGTTAGTTACCATCCTATTCCACTGAAGATGTTACCTCTGAATTCCACGGAAGATATTACTTAGCCTGGTAACAAAAAGTTTGGAAACCAACCCACAAGCTCGGAGAACAAACCTCCACCTGCAGCCTACACCTGAGCTACGGATATTTGCCACTATCATGAATTACCATCCTACCCTGTTGCCATTTATAAAGCAGGGAGAGTCTATATTACTAAAAAAAAAGTGGGGGGGGGGTCATTATTCACTTCTAAACGTCTTCATGACATGCTGAGGACCTGGCTTAGTATTTTAATGTTCTCCTGCATGGCCCAGGCCTCAAATATGAGGCGAGTTAAAGGAAAACACAATTTCAGAAAAGTTGTGCGGCTGTTGGTCCAGTCATGCTCCAGTATGTTAATGTCCTTCCCACAATGCCCAAGACCAGACCCAATAATCTAGGTCTGAACTGACCAGTCCAACACAGAGAGGAATGATCATTTGTTTCAAGTTGTTTTGATTGGATCTAGTCTAGGATTGCATTTGCTCTTTTTGCGGCCAAATCACACTCTTGGCTCAGGACTAAACAGGACCAAACTGTTTTCATTAGATTAAAATAACCCCCAGCTACATAGCTGGGTCCTCACAACAGGCTTAACCAGTTGCATATTGTAAGAGCTGCATGCAGCTGATTAATTCATTATAAGCTTAGTCCGTGTATGTGTACTTTGGTGAACTACAAACCCAGAGCATATAGCTCAGTTTATTTTCCAAGCACTGAGGAATGGGTTAGTTGAATGACACTTACTTTCCCACTTAACACTCCTATCTTCCATTATCACCATGCCTTTTCAGTTTCAGCTAATCATTAAAAGCAATAAGGAAACATAAAAGCTTTTTCATATCAGAAGGACAAATACTCAGCTAGCAAGCACTGCGGGGAAGCAACTTAAGCGCCCCCTGGCTTCTTCATAAAAGTACTAAAGTCAGACCCTATTTTGAATATAGAATGTAGAATAAGCCTGGATGGGATCTCGGAATCTTCTAGTCCAGTGGTCACCAACTGGTGGTCCGTGGACCACTGGTGGTCCGCAAGCAAATTTTGGTGGTCTGCAGAAAAATTATTTGCATTTTTTTATATTGCACTAAATCAGGGGGCCTCGAACTACTGCCCCTGGGCCGGATATGTGCAATGAACATTTGTGTTGCTGCAGAGTCTCCCCCTTTGGGGTCTTTTTTGTGCAAGGCAGAGGGGGGGCAGGAATTCTGACTTGGGGTCTGCTTTAGCCTCCTAGCGTGGGGCTTTGGGCGAAGGCTGGAGGGAAGTGCCGCTGGTGGCGAAGAGCTGGAGGGTCTTGTTCCAGTGAGACTGCATCATGGCCTGGAACTGGCTGACCATCTCAGCCCACTCAGCAGAGGTGGTCTTCAGCAGGTTCTGACCAGTTCTGGAGAACCGGTAGCGGAAATTTTGAGTCGTTCGGAGAATCCGCAAATACCACCTCTGACTGGCCCCGCCAACCCCATCTATTCTCTGCCTCCCGAGTCCCAGCTGATTGGGTGGGTCTTCTTTGGTTGCCCTGCACAGGAGAAGGGAGCTGGAAAGCAGGTTAGTGGAGTGGGGAGGGAATGGGATTTTGCAGTATCCTTCCCCTGCCACGCCCATCAAGCCACGCCCACCAAGCCACACCACATCCACCAAGCCACACCTACAGAACTGGTAGTAAAAAAAATTAAATCTCACCACTGCCACTGAGCCTCTAGGCGCAGGTCTTACACTCCCACAGGTCTTCTCTCTGCTTAAAAAGCCTATGCTTGTAGTCCTCAATGAGGTGCTTCTGCTGAGCCACCTTCTCAGTCAGATCCAATTTGAACCGAGCCAGCTGTTTTGCCAACTCTTTCTCGTGAGGGCTGCTTAGCTCCAACAACTGCTTCCTGTTGGGCCCTAAGGAGCCCAGGGGGGGGACACAACAGGCGAGGAGTGGCTGGGAGGGAAGGGGCGAGTAGAGGCCGGCGAGGTGCCCTTCAACGTGAGTCGAGTTGGCCACACCCACCCAGTCACATGGCCACCTAGCCACGCCCAGCTGGCCATTAGGCAGATCATATTAGTGGCCATGGGATTTAAAATTATGAATTTAGTGGTCCCTGAGGTCTGAAAGTTTGGTGACCCCTATTCTAGTCCAACCCCCTGCTTGAGGTAGCACCCCATGCCATCCCAGACTATCTTTTTTACAGTTTCCCAGTTCTTGCTATTTGTTCTCATGATGGTATAGAAAAGAGGAAAGATATTTTAACCCAAGCAACACTAGACCATCGGCTAATTAGAACATCGAACAATCTCAGCATAATAAAAATAATACAGTATATAAAAGTGAGCGTGAATTTGAATTTGTGTCTGTACGAAGAGATGTAACCCGGGATCAAGCTGCTTTCAAAAAAAGATGTTTTATGTTTTTATGTTTTATGTTTTGTTTGTTTATGTTTGTTTTTAAAAATCAATAAAAAATTTATTAAAAAAAATAAAATAAAAATAATACAGTTGTTAATGACCCCAGAGGTCATCTAGTTCTACACGTCAGCACTTTTGACAGATGAACTTCCAGCTTCTGTTGGGAAATCCCTGGCAAAGGAGAAATCGGGAATTATGTGACCAATTTGTCCCATTGACTATACAATTCATACGTCCCTCCAGGTGACTAATTTGAACTTCCTTTTTTTGCATCTTTAGCTGACTGGTTCTTGTTCTGCCCTCAAGGTAATAACAAACAAATCCATTTCCTCTTCTGATAGCTTTTTAGAAATTGGAAAACTCTTCCGGTAGCTCTCCATAATTCCCCCCTCCCCCACTTCAGCACTGGGACCTGAATAGCTGCCAATGTGCTCCATTTAATCATCCAAAGTCCAAAGAGCTGTGGATTCAATCCCCGCTAGAGGGTTTCCGCCCATAGAATAACATCTGCCAACCATAGAGGAATCCAAAAAGATGAAACTGGTGACATGGTCCTAATAGTTAAGGCAAGATTACCAAACTAGGTGCTGGCCTAGAAACTGGGAGAAAGTGAGTTCCTAGTCCCACCACAGGCACGAAAGCCAGCTGGGTGACTTTAAGACACCCGTTCTCTTTCTCAGCCCAAGCCACCTCACAGAATTGTTTTTGTCAGGAAAATAGGAGGAAAGAATATTGTGTATGCTCCCTGCCTTGGGTTGCTTACCGTATAAAGTAATAACAGCGGGATTTTTAAAAGGCTAATAAGCAAATAAATAAATATATAAAACTGTGATGCCCAGGAGTCTGTCTTCCTTTTAACGAACTCCGAGATAGCATCAGATTGCTGGTTCATATTTAACTCGGGTTGACAAGGACACTTGGATCCCTTCCTCACGTACTCCTCCCAAACCAGGTCTCCTCCACGATATGCTTATTGTCAGCTTGTAAAGCATTCCTACGCTTGTTTCCAAATTGGCATAAGGAAGAGGGTAGGGGGGAAGGACTGGAGAAGCATACGGCAAATGAACTTAGAAGCACATTCCAACTTTATCTTTAGAAAGATTGTAGCTCAGCTACTGAAGATTTCGCCCACGAAAAGCTTTAATTGGAGAACATGATAGGTGACACTTAGCCCGTGTATGTGCTTAATTGGAGAAACTGATTTATGGCACACCCATAAATGTAGGGGGGAGGGGGAAAGCAGGGTCACAGGTGACTGTAATTAAGTATGCCAGAATCAGCTTCATACAGGCCGTGCCAGTATGCCGCTCCCAATGAATTCTTTGAAGTTTGGCTCAAGGCTCATGATTTAATTAGGGTGATTGCTGGAATCCCGACACTTATCCCTTACATTTTTCCTACCCAAATTCAGACCTTGCTGGTCTGAGGGCTATCCTATTCTTTTTTGGCCCATGGCTCGAGCCTGTCTATATATTCCTGAATCTTCTCCCTTTCATCTAAAGCAGGGCAATTTTAAGATGCGTGGACTCCCAACTCCCAGAATTCCTTAATTGTAGGTATTACGTAACCCAGAGGTGTCAAACTCAAGGCCCATGAGCCGGGGTGCTTAGATCTGGCCCAGCCCGGAAACAGTGAAGGACTGACCCGCGGTGCCTCTGCAGTGAAAACAG